CCTTGTTGGGGGCTGCGCCCGCGCGGTGCGCCGGGTGCCCTGAGCCGGGCTCTGCCCGTGCTCCGGCCGCTGGGGCCTGATGCTGCCTTGGTTGTTTCCTGTGCAGCGCTCCGCGCGAGCAAACGCGCTCCTTACCGACTCGTACAATAGGGTATCTCGGTCTTGGGGAAAGCTTTACGCCCGCTTCCCTGCTGCTGGCGCTGCCAATGTTTTCTTTCTCTCACTTACAGGAAAAAGCGTTACTTGTGCTGTGCCTCTAACTTCCCATTTTATTACATCCCTTTCTAATCTTGGAGAGGCAGTGGTTGCAATTCCACGTTCAGAGAAATTCCTGTTCTGCAACTGTGGTAAGTTAAAGGCTTATCTTTCTAACGGAGGTCCTTCTGTGAAGTTTTGTTGATGTTGTATGTGGGAAAGTATGAGCTTCTTCCCTGGGGTATAATCTTTACCAGCAATGCTGTGTGCACGCATTCGAAACTCTTCGGATGGTAATCTCAAATTGAGGTTTGGGATTACACTCTTGTATAACATCCTCTTTCACACAAAGGACTTCAGGCCAAGCAAATCCCTTCAGATTTGCTCGTTTCTTTTGAGTGCATGAGACGGTAAGAATTTAAATTTCCTATTTAGCTAATTGTTTTTCTCTTTTAGGAAGACGATCCTACAGTGATGTGTGTCTTTTGGCAGTGGTTTTGTTTGTGTATACAATGGCATGACTTCTCAAAATGTTTGCAATATATGCAATTTGTGTCAAAGGCAGTACAGGCTGTTTGCCAAGTGTTGGCTGCTTAAATTGTATTCACTCAATTTTTTTCGAAGAGGCATATCTGGATTTCATCTGATTTAAATCAGTATTACCTACACACACTCATCCTTAAATTGGAGAAGCTGCACTGAGCTTCTTTAAGGGACTGCCTGAGTGTTGTGTTTTAAAGAAGAATCTAAAATATTTGAAGCCTAACTTCTGGTCCCTAAATTAAGATGCTGGGCAAGAAAGGGATTTCATGCTTGAAAAAAAACTTAACATATTGGGCAAAAGAATGGAGTAGTCAGTTTGGATTCTAAACTGTCAACAAGGAGGATTTCAAAAGGAAAAGGTGCAGGAAAAAAAAGCTTTGTATGGTAAAGGTAGCTATACCGAAAATGATATGTCTTGATTTCAGTAGACAATTAAAAAAAAAAAAAAAAGCTTGCCTTATTTGGGACTTACAGGGAGTTTTTTCAATTAAAAAACATCTTTCTGGCAGATCTCAGAATGCAGTTGTTTTTAGTGGTTCTCATGGAGATTGGTTTCACATTACCATACCATATTCCAGTCGGCAGCTTTGACTAAGATATTGTTGGCAAAGTTTACACGTTATATCAGAATTAGAGGTAGTAAACAAAAAGGACATAAACCCATGTAAAACCTCTACAAGATGATTTGAGTCAGCAGAGTAAAATGTTTACTATGCAACTGTCTCATACAGGCTAGCACAGGACAAATATATTTAGGACCAAAGAATCCAGAGTGTGCTCAACAGGGTGAAAAGCTTTCTTGGAAAGTAGTGACTTGGAAGGACCTAAGGATCCTTCTAGATGACTACCTCAATTGTTGGGAAAAAGAGCTACTGTTGTGCTTTGATATATGACAAGAGGCGTAGCGGGTAAGTATCTGATAGAGATCTTATGTTCATATAACAGCATAAGTGAGATGCTTAGCATCCAGCAGTAAAAGTGCTGGTGGCCAGGGGAAGGTGAAGACTAGCTGCGCACTGGGCTTTACTGTCGTGTTGCATAGTCATTGTACTAATGTGATGGAGACTGTCGCCCCCTCCTGCTCTGACTATTCAGACATGTTCACTGTTGAGGAAGGGATGTGAAATATTGGAGAACCTTCAAAAGAGAATTAAAAAGTTACCCGAGGGAATGGAAAACAAACCTTTTTAAGGAGGACATGAAGAGTATAACGTTTACAGTTTGTATAAGCTGAGATGAGTACATGTAGGTGTTTGCAGGTGGAGAAGGATATCTGATAGTGGGAGTGGGGAGCAAACCTCTCAGTTATTGTGGAAAATATGGGAAATCAAGTGGTGTGCAGTGATTGCCTGTATTCAGATTAACTCCTAAAAATAAGTATTGTAATAGCAGTTTACGTGCAGAACTCAGCTGAGTCTGTGAGATGAGTTTATAATGTTTTCTAGAATATATGGTTAGATCTGGCTTTCAGAATGCCTGTATTATGTGGATAGGTAGGCTGCAGGGCCATGGTAATATCTTCTGACTGAAAAGAAAGTTGGAAAGTGATGTTTTATGGTCACTTTGTTCTTCTCTTTCCTTCTTGCTGCTGTGGGAGCACAGGATATCTTACAGTTTTCTCAACATTCTTGTAATACTTTCAGCACTGCGTTAGGACAATGTTTATAATCCTACCTTGTGTTTTAGGGCTCTAGCTGATCACCTGAACAGTCTAGGAAAGTTTTTCTCCTTCTCCTTACCCTGCTTCCCACTTCCAAAACAGTTTGCTAACTGTTTTCAAGTGTTTGTGTGTGCCTGTGTGTATTTTACTCTGGAGCATCTGGCATTGGTCTTAGTTTAAGAGGCAAAGCTGGGCGAGGTGGACTAATGCTCTGAAGTGGTACAGAAAATCCTCCCTCTTGTTTTCTGGCTGATGTGTGTTACAAACTACAAGTTAAAACAGTTGCCAGATTTGGGAGGATCTGGCTTGGGGCAAAACTCTCTTGGGAGTTCTTGCCATTCTTTAAAGCATGAGGCACAGATCCTACTGCTAGGACCGTCTGAATTTCTCACCTAATTTCCTGCTATAGTAGAAGCATCTTGGGTTCTGTTTTGTTGTCTGTCATTATCTGAGTTACTGTGCTCAAGGGAAGGGTGCAAAGGCAACCATTATATCTAATAATGTCTTACTGCCTGAAAACATTTGGCACGTAGTCATCTCTCAGGGTAGGCTCTAATGGTGGTAGTCTCTCAGACACTAAGGCTAAGAGGAGGACTGAAAGATCAGACCTGTAGGTGAAGCCTATTTAAGCCCTTGCTAGGCTGTTTTTTCTTTCTCGCAGATAAAGAACAGGGATGACAGTGCAGCTATGAACTCTGCTGTTCTACCTAGCACTATCACCACTTGTAGCAGTATTGATATCCTGCCCTTTCTTTGAGTGAGTATCATCGAATCAGAAATGGTCATGTAGTTTGAATGAGCAAGAGCAGCCTATTTAAAAAAAATTTAATCTTGTTTTGGGGTCATAGTCTTAAAAACTTAATTTTTTAGGGAATAAATTTATTATGAGGTGTAATATATTGCCAAACAAATACATTTTACAACTGTTTTCTCTTGAGCAGCTATACCTTAAGATATATTCAGAGACTTATTTGTTATGCTTGTATTAGTTTACAAAACAATGAATTACTCTATGTAGGAGGTACTGGTTTTTCTATGCAAGTTGCACTTGGGTGGAAATTGGAATTAAAATAGCATTTTATATTAAAATGTGTTAATATTTGATATGTTAAATAGCGTTCTAGCATGAAGGAAAAGGTTTATCAAAACAATTTTGCTTTCATAGCTCTGGGGTGTACTAAACAAAAGAATTGCTATCAGTAGGTTTTAAATGAACTGACTTTTCCTGGTCACTATGTCCTTCAGGACTTTAGAACAAGTGTATCTTGTCCTTTTGTGCCTAGTTTTTTTTATTTAGACACTGAAAGAAGAAAACATCTTTCCTGCTTTTTCAATTTCGAGTAATTTTGCAGCTTTTACATGAACAAGTCATTGAACTTTGAAAGAAGTAGAAACAAAGGCTGTATTCTTCCTGGCATCTGTAGAGCAAGTTTCTGCTGTCAAATTTGGCGTAGCCATTTCAAGAGGCTCTGCTCCCCATTGCTCTGTCAAAGGCCTCCGTAAGTCTGATGGTTTCTGTTTTCTTAATGAATTTGTATTGTTTGAGTAATACTTTGAATTTTAAATGATTTTAGTAGATTATGATAGCATTAAGTTTTAATGTAGCTTATCATTTCAAATTTGGATTTTTTTTTAACATAACGTGTGCAAGTCCTATTTAAATGAAGTCCCTATTTTTAAATGTTCAGATTTTAAATCTTATTCATCCTGGCTTGAGGTTCAGCAAACTATTTTTGTATCAGTTAGAGACTGGATTATAAAAGCAGTATGCTCAGCATCATTTACTACAGTGTCTGTCACTTTTCCATGCGTGAGCACGTCAAGGCTTCATCCGTAAGGGTTTGGAGAGTTGGCAAAAGACACCATCTCTCACATCTACTGCTTCCTCCCGTATATTACCATATTGTTCTCTTTGATTTAAGTAGGAAACCTCCCTTTTCCTCTTCTGATGCTCACTGGTTTATTTGCTCTTGATGGCATTAGTCCTGGAAGCTGAGGCTCCCGCACCCCGTTGTCTAGGAAGGAGCCAGCTGTTCCTATTTGCATCATTTGCCTGAAGTGTCCTCTTTCCCACTAAGCTCTATGTAAATACTAATGGATTTGTGCTTTGGAGTTTTGAACATTTATACTTACGGCTTTTCTAAATTAGTCTGTGCATTACATCACACTCAGATGGCCTGGGGGACTAAGTACAGGCTCGGACTCCTGGTGTTCAGCTGTTGGCTGTTCTGGTATCTGTCCCTCCAGATAGTAGCTTGGCACAGTGGAACAGCAGTAGTTGTTACTAAAGACTGAAAGTCAACAACAGCTTTTTATACTTCCTTTTTGCTTAATAGGAAGGCATACCCCATCAGGTTTGGCATTTCCATCAAAGATTTTAAAAATCCTTGACCATTACTGGGCTTACGCTTTGCATGAGCTAAAGACATATGATTTCTTCCATTTATAGATGTACCGTGTTCTTTATTCATAGGCGTAACTGCTAGATTGCATGCAGAAATAGGTGTTTATGTAATTAAAAACAGTCTTAGAACTAAATCTGAATGGAAACAATTTTCTTACCCTGAAACTGGGGGAGGAAAGGTGATTTTTAGAAAGAGTCCTAAATAGAAAGGTTAGTTTTCGTCAGTTTTTCCTCTAACTTCTTAATGTTTTTAAGCTGTAATTATTCTAAGTGGCCTGAATTTCAAAGTAAATGGAAAACCAGTTTTTGGTATTGAGAAAGCCTTGTTTCAGCAACTTTGATATCTTTTTTTGAGACCTTCATTGATTGAAATTGTTCGTTCCTGCAAGTAATGTGGTTTTGATGAATCAAGCATCTTTCTAAACAGCTCTTGTAAGAAGGCATGCTGTTTGTGCTGTTTGTTTACTAGGGGATCTGAATTTAGAGTTAAGTGAAGCACTTCTGAGTTTATGATTGACTTTTTAGTCAGGAATATTCTTTCAACACTTACACGTTCAGTGTCTTAAACAAGTAAACAGGCAAAGACTTAAGCATGTATCAGCACAGTGTCAACCACATAAGACATGAGCATTGTAACTTGCTGAGTTGTTACCCTATCTCTGATTTGTAACTGGCAATTTGCATGTCAAATAACCAGCTACTAATCAGCATTGGAGGAGGTGCAAGGAGATGCAGCAGAGCATTAACTGAACCAAATTAAGAGCTCATTGCCAGGAGGAGAGGTTATGGGAGGTCTCTTCCCTAGATCCCATGCAATCCTCTCCTCTATTGTACTAAATTAGATCAAATCATGCAGTAGGTCTCTTCTGTTTGCTAACTTACGCAAAAGCTGTATTTGTTTCTGCTTGTTTTTAATTTAGACCCAAGTGAGGTACGTTGAATTTGATTGCTAACTCTTATTACATAAATGTATACAAAGTGTTAAAGTTTCAGCGGCACCTTTGCTTGAAGTATATTAATTTTATTTTTATTTTATGATAGCATTTCCTGCATCTAGTTACTGAAAAGGAAATGTTCTACCATTTGATTTGGATGCTTGTTCTGCTCTGCAGGAGCTCTGCAGCAGGTAGGATGGAAAGCTGCTTGATTATTTGCGTGTGTTGTTAAGAAAGTTTTCTAAAAGATGACCTTTTCTAAATGACGTTTCCAAGAGTTATGACAATGGAAAAAATCTGTTTAATAGAAGTTAGTGATTGGCTAAGTAGTGTACAGTATAGAGCAACAAATTAATTTGGCGTTCTTGATCTCTTTTTGTGGAATGTTAACTGTGATCATTATAGTCTGGGTTTGTTTTCTTCTGTGTATCTTAAAGTTTACCTGTGCAATTATTTCCCTGTTGCACAGGATGTAGGAGGGGCATCTGCATCTGAAAATCGTATCATAGTTTAATTCCTCTTGGGCTGTTGAGACTGGTAAATTTGGAGATCTGCTGACAGAACAAATTAATATTTATGTAACATATGAACATTTAAAGAGCAGTTAATGTTTAAAGTCGTGATACTGGTTTAAGACAAATATTATTGTCAAATATTATTTATTCAGAGATTAATGGAACGACTATCAATTTTTTCACATTATTCCTAACTTTAAGTCAGCAATATCTGAAGATCAGTTTTTAATGTCATAGTTCAACAGTCAGTTTAAGCCCTCTCCCCCCACAGCTGCTGAAGTTGGGAGGGGAAAAAAAATAGTTCTGCTCTCCCTGTAGTTCTGGAGCTCTTTCTGCTTCCATAGGAACAACCGCTAGTGTGGCCAGTTGTGAAGCGGTTAGGAAACTGATTTGAATGACAACTAAATTTCTGCCAGGTTTTTAATTTTCATCAGTACTGGTTTCTTTGTGGTGCACTACACAGATAATTGATTTGGCACAGGAAGGGAATAGCACTGGAGTGAAGGGATGATCAGGGATTAAAAATGCTACTTCTGACAACAGCGTCAGTTTAAACTGGTTAAATTCAATAGTATAGGTTAGTTGGAATAGGATATCACAGTATGGAATAATGCTCTTTGGAATAATGGCTTTGTGACAATGACTGACACTTCACATACAATTTATTTTCTTTCAAACTTAAAATGAAATAGTAATGTGCTATATAATGGCACTTATGTTTTAAAGTTGTTTTGGGATTATAGGGGAGAGGTGCATACGTACAGAGAAACTGGAATGGTACATGGTAGAGCAGTGCAGTTGAATGCTTAAAGTTGATATACAGGCATTTCTGTAGTGGTATTTAGAACAACTAGTAGTACGACTTGGATACAAAAGGAAATAAACATAATTCAATTCACCTAGCAGTTAACGTGCACCAAAAGAGAGAATTATCAGAAAACAAGAAAGAATTTCTTTGCAGGAATGTAGGAATGAAAGGGAACCATAAAAATTGTTTTCTGCTTTCATGTAACAGTTATTAATGTAGTTTGGCACTAAGAAATAAGTATCAGTGAAAAACATAAAAACATCGGTTCCTTGCAGGATGCCAATGAGTGATTCTTGCACTGCTCAACAACTCTGCTGAATTCATTCTTTCAGCCTGCTTTTATATTTTCCTTTTATGTATGTTTCATACGAATTTTGTATTCAATTCCTGTACTATATTAGAGAATATAAATACTATGAAGGTAAAAATATTAATAATATGTCAGAATATATTGGAACTTAATTATAAATTTTAAACCTTAGCAATTTGTTGTGTTTTCTGGTATACTCTTAGTGATGATACCATCTAAGTCATATATACACTCTTTAAATGTTTTTTAAAAAACTATTCTTATATATGAAAAGACAAAAAGAAAGATAACAGATTGTCCTTTCTTCATTTTCAGCTATTAAAAAAAATTGTTAAATTTTTTCCATTGTTTCTGGGAAGCTGTAGGAACATCATTCTTATACAAAATGTATATTAGTATGATAATTACTATAAACTGAGTTACAAGCAGTAATGTCAGATTCCAGTGACTGAGCTTTTTACTTGCACTACATTTAAAAAACTTCCCATTGTGCATGAAATAGGTTTAGAAGGGCAAATGGGTTATATAAATATTATTTAAAGAGGTCTGTCTCCCAGTGCCAGCACTCAAGCTGTCACGCCTGTATATTTTCGCTTGAGAGCAAATGCCTTACAAATACCTTTGGAAGTCCCCATTTTAGCTGGGAGACTGGCCCATTCTGGATGACCGCTGTCAACGTTTTCCTAGTGTAGGCGGTGCTGTCATTGGGCTGGGCCTAACACACTGGAAGCAAACCTCCTGAAGCCGCCTCTTTCAGGACATCAGATCTTTCATTGCTTAAATGATCTATAGACATACCTGTTGATAACAAAGTTAGTTATCATTTTTCCACAGGTATTTTAAAAGAAAGCGGGTTATATGATATCTTTGATTTTGTTTTTAGATGAAAACTCTGTCAGAGATGTTGAAATTTTTCCTTCATCTCCTGAAATTGAAAGAGGATCCACCCTGAAACTATTTTGTGTTCTTGGAAAACACTACATGCCTCACAGAAATGCAAGCCACATCATCTGGAAATTGAATCATGAACTGATCACTCAGGAAAACTATAACATTGTCAACGAGACTGTATCTAGTGTAACCATCCATAATTTCACTTACAGCAAAGCACATGTGAAATGTTTCATTAAGTATCTAGGCAAAGAACAACTTTTGGTTCACACTGAAGTTAAATCTGGCTGTAAGTAGAAATATAGGACAATGAAATTAAACATTTTTGAGTAGCTTGTTGTAAAAATTTTATTTTTAAAAGTAATTTTTTTTTTTAAACTTTTGGCAGTTTTAAGACACCGGTATTCAGGTATCTTCTTTTTTTATCTGAACTAAAGCATGAAATTGCTGTTGTCTCTTTACTGGTGCTAGTCTATAACCTCTCTGACCCTGACTTTTGGTCAACTGAAGTCAGCGGGTGCTTTTTGTTGAGTTCAGTGAGTATTGGATCTGTCCCTTTGATTAAGTCTCTTGTCTAGCCTAGCAAACTTTTAGCTTCCTCTGGGGAGGATTTCCTCACTGATCTTCTCTTTCATAGAAATTATAACTCTAGTCTCACCTGAAAAAGGTGAAAAAGTAAATATATACATAAAACTGCTCTAATTCTTTGGACAGATTAAGTCCAGATTATATTAATATATGCCTGGGGTCTCTGCTCCAGTAAAAGAGCAATAAATGCAGAGAACTACATCTCTAAAATAAAGAACAGCAGAAATTATTGCCTGTGCCCAGTGTTCAGTGTGCCATAAACTTGTCAATAAAAGGAAGGTCTTTTGAGGTATTATATTGGGTGGAACAGAAAAAATATTTTTTGGAGAGAAGACTTCTTCAACTAAATTATTTAACTGAGAGCAGTTTTCTTCCTTTCAATCGCAATTTCTTCTCAGTGAAGAAGTCTGGCTGATAAAAGATATATTTGAGCGTATTGTATTTTCATAGATGATTTTAGACTATAGAGACTGCAGAGGATTCCCTTTCTACCATCTTGGTCATAAGATAAAGCGAATCCAGAATTAGTGCTCTCTTCAGGGTCATACCGATATGTTTCCCAGGGAGTAATCTTCTGCCCTATAAGACAATGCAGGCTCCTCAGATTAGCAGTGTTACCAAATATGTGATTAGACATTCTGGGAAGGAACCAAAAAGAGTCTGATATTTCAGAGACGGCCCTCTCTTCCTGGACTTCTGTAGCATTTTTGTTTTTCTTACTGGCTGGACTGGCCTTTAGCTACAGTCACTCTGCAGTAGATGTAGTTAGAGGTTCAGAACAGTGCATTTATTGGCTTGATATGAAGTTATTATTGGGATAATGTAAAAGTACCTTCAAGTCTACTTAACTAAATATTTCTGAGGAGTAATTGGAGCAAATCTTTCTCTCTCCACAGGAAAGAAACAGTGGTTTTGGTTTTGGGAAGAGTTTTGAGGGCAGTAAGAAATGAAATAATAAAAAAGTTCTATGCAAGCCATTTACTGACGTTTGCTACAATCTGCCTTTTGACTGGCACAAATGGTCTTTATTAAAGTTGTTTATTTTTACCAGAATTAATTCTTTTTTTTTTTTTTCAATGTAGTTCCACCGGACGCACCAGGAAATATTTCCTGCGTTTATTACTTTGATGCTGAACTTGCTTGTAGTTGGACTTCAGGAAGACAAACGAATCTTACAACAAGCTATACTCTTTATAGAAAAATGTAAGTGTAGAATATATTGGGAACTAGGGTATCGGGGTGAGACTGCTGGCTCCCTTCCCTCATGTTCCAGCTTCTGCGTGAACAAAACCTGGAAGCACCACAGAGTTTAGAGTCAATAGCAGTCCTAAGTCAGTAGACTCAATTTTGAGTTGGTAATGATTGGAAGAGATTACAATCCGATACCTTTTTAGTACTCTGTACGAAAGAAGTGAGCATTTTCAAGCCAATGTTTAGTAGACAAATATTTACATCAAAAGTAACATTTCTTTATACTGTTAAATTAACATTACTAACTAAATCAAAAGCTCAGTGAACCTAGGTGCAGATATCATCTTTTAGGTTATTCTGCTATCAAGTCAGAATGAAGGTGCTTTGTTGGAGTGTTACCTAGAAACTTCTTTTGGTATTAGTTGTCCCCTTCTAGTATGGGAATTTTAAAAAGCTCACTTCTTTCTCTAATGATTTTAAACTGATAATTATTTAAAGCAAAGGCTCTTTTATCCTGCCTGATCATACCAAATATGATTGGAGGTACTAATGTGTTGCACATAGGGATAGAATGTATACATCTTTTAATTTAAGGTGCAAATTTCAAGTTCCTTTACTTATTGGAAGCATATCATGCATTATATATTGTACTCTGAAACAGAACCATTGCAAACCAAAGCCTTCATCTGTATTGTTTGTATAAATGTTTAAAAATTATATAATTTGCGTGTGCATGCAACAAAATATGTTTGGTATTTAACTGCTTCTTGCCAGAGGCTAGCTAGCCAATAAACATGGGTCACAGAAGGTTGCCCTTAGCATGCAAAATATGATCAAATTTTCTTCTGTAATAAATTTACTATTTTAAGGCAACTTCTTTTTTAGCCCCCCAAAAGGCAAAACTGTGTAAGCCAGTTAATGCTAGTAGGGTTTAACGTAGGGTTCTTTGGGATCATAATGCTTCAGTGAAAGAATCAAGTGCTTGTTGTTGGTTTTGGATTGCTCACAGCTGTGGGCTTGTATTTACACATGACAGGTAGTCGTCTCACGCTTTTTAGTATTTTTGAGATTTTCTTCTATTTCAGTTAAATTCTGAGTAGTAAGACTCTTTCTGTAAGTTACTGTGAAAATGATGAAATCAATGTTGTTTCAAGACAGATCTCAGATACAATTTTGAAGGTAGTAGTGCTTTTTTCACTTTTTTTTTGTCCCAAATCAACTTGTCAATCCACTTTTCATAATAGGAAGAGAGCACCACAAGCAATGCTGCCTAATCAAGGCTCTAGCTAATGTGTTCATATGAATGGTTTTCTCAACTGTCTAAAACATCCTTAAACAGGAAGGATTACAGACTTACTGCAAGTTATGTTAGCATATTTAATATTTTTTGTTTAAATGATAGGACAGGAAAAAGTCTCTGGTTTTTGTCTCCAATTTAGGCATGACAGAGCTGGTATTTAGATCTTCCTGAGTTGGAACTCTCTTATTTCTTCTAGTGTTTTTAAGCTTTATAACTTAAAGTTGAGTCTGTGAAACTATTATGTCAGCTACTGAAAATAGGTATCTATTTTGCTCATTCCTGTGCTAGCACAAATTCTTTGGTAACCACACAGTAAGTTGGATTGCAGAACTGTTTCAGGTAAAAATCTAACTTAATTTTAATCCAGATCAACTCCCCTGTCTAGTTTACACATGACTATAAAAGCATTAGTGCAGGGGAGCAGACTGCTATGGATGGAAACAACCGCGCATGTTAGGAAAGGCAGGACTGCGTCCTTTCTCAGCAGTGCAAGCTTATGCTATTTTTAAAAAGTTCATGAAATACCATCTGTAAACTGTTCTTAGTCACATGAATGTTCTGTATTTTTACTGCATAATATGTAATATTTAATACTGATCCCACATATGAGTATTTGCTTGAATTTCTTTAAGGTTAAGTAAAGGGAAACAATTTGTTACTCTTGCATCCCGCTCTACTTACAAAAGTATATGCTGAAAAGAAAATGTACTATCTGTGTGTTCTTTCAGAAAATCTGACAGATTTCTGTTATCTTGCAATAGTTTGGCACTGGTATAATTTGGTTTTTCTTTTTTTCCATATTTAAGATGCATGAAAGTTTGTTATCATCTAGCTCTACCGTGTGGGATGTGTTTCTGTGTTCATAAAACCAGTTATGTTTCTTTTCCTGTATGTCTTTACATGCATGCATGCATATGCACGCATATGTGTGTGTATGTATATGTGTGTGTACACACACACACACATACATATGTATATATATGTATATATAAAGGAAGTCTTGCATGCAATTATCTGATTTACTGCTCCGTTTGAGATTTTAATCTTAAAAAATAAGCCATAGATCCCCTATTAAGGCATTATACTCATTCGTGCTTCTTGGAAGTTGCCTTACTGTTTGCAGTTAGGACTAATTGAGTCTGTGCAGGATATTTATATATATTATTTACTGGTTTAAGATACTACAGAGTGGGTTTGCAGGAGCAGTGCATTTTAAGAATGGTATTTGTTTGCACAAAAATATCATGGTAAAAATGTCTTGCAACCCCCCCAAAACATATAAGTACTAATTAAACCCTAACTTAACAATCAGATCAATTTAATCTAAGAAAATCCAATGATTTCTAACTCTTCCCTTTATTTTTTCCTTTATTTTTTGTAGGATGAGAAAACGAGGTGTGACTATTCTAAATACAGTTGGTTCCAGCTGCCAAAGCAAAACTGAGTCATGTTCATTTTATTACCCAAATACTCCATATAGCAGTTCTTTTTGTTTTCAGGTGAAAGCTGAAAATGTTTTGGGTGAAGCCTCATCAGACTGTGTTCCTATAGCTATGGAAAAAATAGGTAATTAAAAAAAAGTTAACTGGGGATAAAAACATGCTACATGTTGACCTGACTGTACCCTCCCTAGTCCCCACCTACTTCCCTCCCCCACCCCCCTAAGTACAGCAGTTGTACAGCTTTGAGGATGCTGAAACAAATTGTGTGATCAAAGTTTATATTTAGGAGAAATTACGAAAAATAATCTTTTTGATATAATAGTTTTGAAACTATTATTTGGGTTTGATTTTTTTTTTTGTTTGTTTTGAAATTGAGTTTAGCTTTGAAATGCCATCTAATTCTAATTGTTAATTAAAATTACTAAGTCCCTGAGGTTGAACTTATTTAGAATTTAACAAACTGTTTCATCCTTCTCAGTTCTTACTTCATCAACATTTGGATGCTTCCAGTTTAGGTAAAGTTATACTTGTATACATCTAAGTGAAGGAAGTCTCTTATTACATTGTGACTGATTGCATCTTCCTATGCAGTTCTTTGAACTGATTGGAACAGGCATCAATTTTCAGAAAAACTGTTCTTTCTAAGGTCTTACAGATAGGTGATTAAAAATGATAGTGTCGTATCCATAATATGGAGCATCCAGCTACAGCAATAGTTTAGCTAACGTCTGAAGTAGCTTTTGTAAATTACTGAGTTTTTATTATTAACTAGTAAAGACTATGTGCTAAAACTCTGTCAGACTAAGTGGTACTTGGACTGTACTTGTGGTTTTTTGAGTGATGCTGCACATCAGTGCAGAATCTGGCTGTAAATGAACAGATGCTATCGTAACTTCACCAGTCTTTCCGTCACTTACTCCGCTGTTCTCCTTCCTGGTTAGGAATGTAAAATAAATCTCCTGTCCTGCAATTCCTGGGAGTGACAATAATGTATCTGTCTCTTCTCCCTCTGTGCTGTGTTGCATTTTCCTCTGTTGATTTTGGTGTAGTTTACCAAGATTATGATCTGAGTAGGATAAGGCCAGCATGGTTATTCTTCCCTACATAATGCACATTTCTGTAGTACTTTTTTTTCCAATGCACGTGACAGGTTGTGGAGTTTTATTCGGTTTGCTGGCTCACGTGAGATGTTGATGCTAAGGCTGAAACTAGGAGGAGTCCAAGCTAGAAAACTTTCCTTGAACCATACTGTGTGGAACATATGCACCTGTATTACAGTAGTATTGTACTTCTACTTGGACCCTATATGTTAGATTCAGCTACTCCGTATTTTACAGGGTATTCATGTCACTGCACTGCTACATAATCATGCAAGGTAAAATTTTGATTATAGTAAAGAAGTTTAAAGGGGAGTCAATTATCTGATGCTCAATGCAAACGAGAAGCAAAGACAACCCCTTCAAAGTTGAGTTCTTTTGCTGCAACACTCTAACAGTTCGCAAACCTTAAGCTCCTTTACTCCTTGCATTCAAGCATGTTAAGTATCCCAGCTCCAGACTTTGGTAGTATTCTTCAAGACTGATATGGATGAAAGAAAATCTGCACATCTATTTGAGAGTGAGTTTGTTAGTATTAACTTAGTTGTGTGCAATGTCTCTTATAAATAACTTCCCATATGTAGATTTAATGTCTATAAAATGCATCATTATGTGTATACTCTAATAGAAAATACATTATATGGATAGTAGTTTAACTTCTTGGAATCCATATAGCCCAAGCAATTCTAAGCTTTTATATAAAGCTTTTTTTTTTTTTCCTGTTAATGCTCTTATTTCTCCATTCTAGAGAAATTTGAACCTCCTGAAATACTTTCAGTACAAAAAATTGCTGGCATAAAGCAGTTGCTTACAGTAACCTGGAAAAAACCTGAGAAGATTATACCTTCGCAAGACTTAAACTGCCGAGTTCGATACAGAAACTTGTATTCAAACTTTTCGGTAAGCTGTGCAGTTTTCTTCCTAATTTTAGCTTGTTTGTGACTAACTTTATTAATGTTATAAAATGATAATGAGAAAAAGGAAAGAAGTAATTAGAACTAATAGAGAGTGCCTGAGGACTGGAAGAAAGCCAGTGTCACGCCAGTCTTCCAAAAGGGCAAGAAGGAGGAGCCAGGGAACTACAGGCCTGTCAGCCTCACCTCCATCCCTCCACTAAGCGTGTGGAGGACGAGAAGGTGATCAGGAGTAGTCAGCATGGATTCACCAAAGGGAAATCGTGCTTGACCAATCTGATAGCCTTCTCTGATGGAACGACTGGCTGAGTAGATGGGGGCAGTGCAGTGGATGTTGTCTGCCTGGACTTCAGCAAGGCTTTGGACACTGTCTCCCATCACATCCTCATAGGTAAACTCAGGAAGCGTGGGTTGGATGAGTGGAGAGAGAGGTGGATTGAGAACTGGCTGGATGGCCGAGCTCAGAGGGTTGTGGTCAGTGGTGCAGAGTCTAGTTGGAGGCCTGTAGCTAGCGGTGTCCCCCAGGGGTCAGTCCTGGGTCCAGTCTTGTTCAATGTGTTCATCGATGACCTGGAGGAAGGCACAGAGTGCCCCCTCAGCAAGTTTGCTGATGATACTAAACTGGGGGGAGTGGCTGACACCCCAGAAGACTGTGCTGCCATTCAGAGGGACCCGGACAGGCTGGAGAGCTGGGCGGAGAGGAACCTCCTGAAGTTCAACAAAGGCAAGTGCAGGGTCCTGCACCTAGGGAGGAATAATCCCCTGCACCAGTACAGGCTGGGGGTTGACCTGCTGGAAAGCAGCTCTGCCGAGAAGGACCTGGGAGTCCTGGTGGACAAGTCAAGCGTGAGCCAGCAGTGTGCCCTCGTGGCCAAGAAGGCCAATGGTCTCCTGGGGTGCACGAGGCAGAGTGTTGCTAGCAGGTCGAGGGAGGTGATCCT